AAACCAAAAAAAAAAAAATGAAGGTGGGTGTGGTAGTACATGCCTGTAATCCAGCACTCAGGAGGCTGAGGCAGGAGGATCACCATGAGTTGGGGGCCAACCTGGGCTGCACTGTAAGTCCATAGGCCAGCCTGAACTACACAGTGAGACCCTGTCTCAGTGACACCACCCCCCCGCCAAAGAAGAAGAATTAGAAGCAGAAAGTAAATAGAGATCAATATTTCTGTGGTCAGAAGGAAAGGGTTTGAATCTTAGCTCTACAATTTGTAGCTCTGACCCCCAAAATGGTCTCAATCTCCCTTAGACTCAGGTTCCTTATTTACAGAATGGAAAATGATAGGAACTGCCTCATCTAGTGCAGGTAAAAAGCTCCAAAACAGTCCCTCCCATACAATGAATACTCAGAAAGATTCAAGTACAAGAGGAATTATAATAATAGTTACTAGTAAACAAAAAGCAAGATAAATAGTCACAACTAAGTGACAAAGAAGACCGTCCTTCCTAACATATGAGCAGAGGAGTCTTGCCTATCTTGAACTGCACCCTAGGTCCCTATAAATTCAACTCAATGCTATCTGTCCAACCTCCGAGGGTGCATTTACGAGGTGACACATATATGTGTGTCTGCTGTGGCAAGGTTTTCATTTCTGACTCAGCTGTCCCTCTCTGTAGAACAAGAGTCAGAACCAAGAGACTCAGCCTGATTACACTGACTGTGCTGGGAAATCTCTAGAGCCTGAGGGTCCTGGGACCCCCTAGGCATGTAGCCAGCGCACCCACAGCGTGCCCCAGCCTCAGCCTCTGGCGTGCTCCCACTTTCCCTACATCTGAACACGATGTCCTCCCCTGCCGCTTCTCGTGAGCACCTCAGCTTTTACTCAGTGGGCTGGTCGCATCAGTGACCCACCAGTACGCCCAGTATAGCTGCTGCCAAGGCAGCTCAGGTCTCTTGGCCTCAGGTGGAAGCTTTTGGCAGGAACATGTAGATCAGCACCATCAAACAGAGGGTTTGGCTGTGGTTTAAGCTTGGTCTTGTCCTTTTCCTCTTAGTCTACAGTCACTTTTCTTCACCCATTATCCTCTTAATCAGGTAGATTCAGGCAGAAAAGCTTCTAATTTACCACTAGTGTCTTAGGTTTTCAGGCTGGGTTTCCCTTGACTCTTTTCCACACCTGCTCCGTAAGCTGAGGTTCTAGGATCTTTGGCTTTCAGACAGAGCCACAGGACTCACCCACTGAGACTTTGCAGACCAGAGTTTAGAAGCTACCAAGACAATAGTATTAAATAAAGGTCACACTCATGCTAGGGAGGGTTCTAGCCTCACATTAGCTGAGGTGACATGGTTTCCTTGGTTTCCAGTGTTGTCATATTATCTATCTTAAAGTTCACCAATAGTTACCTTGTTTCTCCAGAGAGATTAGGGAGTGTTGCCATTTAGCATTTGAAGCATCTGTCCTATAAATGGCTTACATCCAGACATTGTAAGTTGGTTGCTTTTAAAATGACAGAGGTGAGAAGAAGCCTCTTTTAATGACTGTGGTACAATATCCCCAACATTTACTCACTTGATCCGGTGATTTGTTTCATTACAGCGGCAAGAACAGAGTCTACCTTTTCTTTTGATTCCCCTTCAGTTTAATACCTCACATGAGCAAAAGCCACACATTCCTCTTCTCCCACAGGCAACTTAGTGCCTATTAGGTATAGGGCCTATTAGGTGGAGGCATTGAGTAGAGAGGAGAAAGGCATAATTTGGCTAACTAGTCTCTAAAAATATCAGTCACTAATAAGTAGATCCAAAATAATGAGCCAGAAGACTATTGGAAATAATAAGAGAATGCAGAGAACTTCCAGAATTAACACAAACAAGCAATAACCATCTGTAAGTCCTAACCAATTAGTAAATCTAATGGAAGGAAAAATCCCATTATTAAAACCAACAACAATAAATGCAAAGAAGGTAAAATATTTAACAAAGAATATGAAGGGCTTAAGTTAAAAAAACTTTTAAAATAAAATAACTTTTAAAATATTCAAATATGGCTGGGCTTGGTGGTATACACCTGTAATGCTAGCCCTTGAGAGGCTGAGGCAGGAGGATTGTCATGAGGATGAGGCCAGCCTGAGCTACATAGTGAGACCCTGTCTGAAAAAAGTCAAGCTGAACCAAAACAAAAAGATTCAAAACTAAATGGAAAGATATATAAAGATAATAATTTTTGCTAAATTAATCTATAAATTTAATGTAATCCCAATAAAAATCCAATAGGGTTTTCCAGGAATTGGAGTGAAATAGACAAGCTATTTTTTTTCCAGTGAAAAAGAACCATGTGAAAATTACCAGAAAAATTCTAAAGACAAAGGGTAACGAGAGAAGATGACTAAATTAAAACAATGTAAATAAAACAGAACACTGAACAGAATAGGATACAGAGAAGCACACCACCATTCCAATTTTAAGACCCAAATACACATGAGAAATTCTAAGTTACAAATATAAAACTGTCAGGATGGCATTTCAAACGAATGAGAGTAAGCTGAATTATTCAATAATTCGGGCAACTAGCTGGGTTGTCACTGGGGAAAAAGAGACAAAGCTGACTTTCTTATTCCTTGGATAACACATACAGATTAAGTTTTTTTTTTTTTTTT